CTTTCGATTGCCATAAAAAAAGTTTAAAAATATTAATAAACAAATTATCTGCACTTGTTTGAAAAAAAAAAGCTATCTCCCCTCCCCTTTGAGCTAGATCGATGATTTTTTTTTTTTAATTTTCAGAAAAATAACAGGAATCGAATAGCATTTATGCCAATGTCTCAAATAAAAAATTCGCTAAGATAGAGTCAATTGTTTATAGTGAAAAAATCTATCGTTTTTTAACGGTCATTTTCGGGCATAAAAAATTTTTTTTTTAATTCTGCGGCACTTGTTATCGATAATATAGGTCCTTAAGAGTAAAATGACACCTTAAAATTAATTTTTTTTTAGGGTCCCGGAATCTTGGATCAGAAATAAAAAACATAGTTTATTAATTAACAATTGGATTGTTCAAAAACTATCAATCCAATCGGGCCCAAATTTTGTATACTTATTAAGGGTCCTGAATGTAACATTTTTATCGAGTTTAAGACCGATTCATTAAAAATTAAACGAATTATTTAAACATTAAAAAAACGATTTTTTAAATGGTTTTAATTCGATAACTCGGAAACAAATGACTGAAAAATATCGTTCGACCAGTCATTTTATCCGTCTTTCCAAGCTCTACAACTTTTATTTGAAGCTTTTTTTCATAAAAATTCACTGGGAGCAACAATCCTCAAAAAATCTCAAAAAGTTGATTTTTTGCAATTTTAAAGACTTATAACAATTAAACCTCATGGGGAAAAGTGGTGAAAATGTCATAGTGTTATTATAAATCATATTTACTAACAAATGATTTATTGTTTAATCAGGGGAATTAGTTGTCACACATTTTACACAGGGCGCCTGGACTAATCCTCTAATTCTTTTAAGAGTGCTATCACCCATAAACCATTTGTTACCTTCCAACAAAAACTCAAGTTCCAGCTTCCTATCTGAATCTCATTTTTCATCAATGAATTTGTAATTTTCATATAGAAACCTTTTTCTCACGCCAAGAAATGAAAAATATATTTTTCAATTTGCATTATCAATAAATAATATTTTTTGTCAGAAATGTAATATATATTTTTTATTGACGTTTAATACTTCAAGTTGATATTAAATTTAAATTGAAATAATCCTAATGTTATAAACGTAATATATATTTAATATTTTCAACAAACAAACAAATGTGAATTTCAGTTACTTTGGATCTAGTTTATCACTTAGAATTATATAATTAATAAAGTGATGAATGGTTAGGGATCAAGAGGATGAAGCGAATTTCATATTAATGAAAATTCTCTAGCTCGCTCTTCATCTCCTTGGATTTCAAAACAGCGTTTCCGATCCTGTCTCTCCTATCCTTGAACCTTTCTAACTCAGGTTGCAGTGATCCAAGGCTAATTCTCTCCAGTTTTGAACCCACTATTATTTTCGCGTGATTGGCTCATGTTCTATATATTTTTCTACCCATATAAACAAAAGTTAATTTACAATTTATATTATATTCACTACTCTTTTGGTGACTTTAAAATTGATTGTTTTACTGTGCGGTGAATGTTGTTTTTGCAAAGAAATCAAGTTTCACATTGTAATATTTATTTAGTTTACAAAATGGAAACAATATATTTTATATCTTTCAATTTAATAGCCTCTGGCATCGTGCATGTAAATGTCAACTGAATATATGTGTATAATGATATATTCCGGATTAACAGATTGATAGTATATGTACTTATATACTACTGATAAAAAATTTCATGTTTTTTTAATAGCAATTTATCGAATTTGTCACCAGAACATGAAATAACCATATTTTTAATTAATTGACATAGATAAAATCAATTTTTATACAGAATAAAACCCTTCCTTGGCTGAAAATTAATATTTTTCTAATGATTATAAAGATTGACATTGATAAAAAACTTTAAATATTTTTCAGCAATGAAAATTTTAAGCCTTTACATAGTATTTTTTCATCCGGAATTGTAATTCTTATTTTGAGCATTAATTTCAATGACATCTTCAAGGGATAAATTAATTAGAATTTAATTTTGGCATCCAATGATAATAATTATTGGTACACCTATACTTGCAAACTCATATTGGACATTTGCTTGTCTGCGTATTTGTCAACAGCATGCATGTGTATACCGATCGATGGAGCGGATTTCTATCTAATTTAAATCACTCGAGATAACAATGTTTCACTATATTCCAAACTTCATGCATTATATCTTGTTCACTAATATCAATCACATTTTATTCTCCTCTCCCCCACCTTCTTTCACCGCTTCTAAAACCACGCATATATAAACATAACTTAATTTAGTAAATTTTTAACTCTGGTACATTAAATTCTCACAAACTTTTTTCTTTCATAGAAATTGTAAAGGGATCAATATAAAGTTTTTTATCAAGAATAGTCGCTGAGATAAAAACTTAAAAAAAACTATAATTTTTTTTTTACTTTATAATTACTGGCTTTTAAATTATTTTTTTAGTAAATTAAGTATTATTTATTTAAATAAATAGTGTTAAAAATTACAACATTAAAGAAATGTTTTTAATTCTTCATAAAATAAATATTCTATAATAATCTAAATTGCATAACGTTAATTCTGAAGGAAAAGTGATTTAGTACAAAATATTGTACTAACAAGTCTATTGTCTCCGCAAAGTCGTGGTAAAATTTAAAAATATATATTTATAGGACTTCACATGAAATTTAAAAATTTCAAATAAGCAAAGCCAATATATGTCACAAAATTTTCATTACCCAAACTGATGAAAGTGAGAAGATAAAGTCGGACATTTAAAATTTTGCGGTAGGAAATTCGGTTCAATGAAAATTCTAACTCATGAAATTCGAATCGCTGGAAATGCGCATTACTAATTTTTGAGGACCAGTTATGCGATTTAATAATGCGAATATTTTTGAAGTAAAATAAGTCATGCTTACTTAAGTATTGTTAAAATAAAAATATTTAAAAAATTTGTTGTTAAAAGCAACATAAAATAAAGAAAAAGACAATGAAACGTGAAGTTGGCATAAAACTTTCATGAGCGTGAAAAGATTTTTCTAAAAAGGTCGCGAGCCTATATAGAGGAACAAAGATAGAAGTCAAAGTGGCTTGAATCCGTGAAACAAGTGAGAATGAGACAAGTTGTGATTAACTTTTGACTTTGTGTTCTTGCGGAATGCTCTTCGGAGCTGCAACAACGATGAGAAAAGCAACGAGATGAATGAGGGGCAGGATTTTGACGACAACGAGGAATGATGATGATAACGTCGAATGTACGCATGCGCGCGGAATTGGGGTTGAAAGGCTGTGACACGCTTCGAGGAATCCAAAAAGCTCACCAGCAGCCACTTGGCTACAATTTGAGTACAATAATGATAATACAAAATTACTGCGCAAAATGAGACCATAAGACGGTTTAATTAGTGCGCCTAAAATTTTCGCAAAACTACCTGCAATAATAACTATTCAATCATATTTGCTAACTAAACTATATTTCTGCACATAGGTACTTTTTGTAATAAATAATTTCTTAATGATCAGAATTTAAATTTTCAAAAAGTGCCATTTTTTTTATTTTTTTAAATTCAGAATTAAGAAAATTGTTAAAAGCAGAAAAATGTAATTAATTTTTAATTGTTATATATAATAAATTTTATTGTTTTAAAAAATAAATAGGGGAGGCCTGGACGTAACGGAACACTTGAATTTATTTAAAAGTATTTCGGTCTCCAGCCAAACTAATGTACTGTAAGTTTGTACCAATTCAATGTGCCTAAAGTTCTGAACGTTCAAATAAACGAAATCATTTTTTTGGTCAATGCAATCACATTATCACAGTTTAACTGGTCGTAAAATACTTAAATTATATTCAGTTTAAATTTTTTTAGATTCTTTTAAAATTTCTAAAAAAATGTAAATTTCATCCATTCTCATAGTGGGAGTCGAACACCACATCTCATTTTACCAGCAATAAAGAAGATGTGGTATTTAACTCCCACTATCAGAATGTAGAAGATTTACTTTTTTCATTAATTTAAAAAAAATCTAAGAAAAATTTAAACTCAATATAATTTAAGCATATTTAACATCAAAATATCAGTATGTAATAGGTTTTATAGAACAAAATATTTACCATAATAAGTATTTTAATAATGTTTAAATGTTTTAAATTATAATTTTACTACTTGCACTACTCCACAAAAACTTTTCTAGAAAAAAAACCTATAAAGGATATTAAAACATTCGTTTTTCAAATTAAAGGTGATAATATTAGAGTAATTCTGAACGATAAACTTTTAATTAATGTGAAAATGACGAAGATAATCAACAAAGAGTAAAAAGTGTTCCATAACGTTCTGGTCTCCTCCATTTTAAAAAATTGTATACTTTATGAATATATTAAAATTTATATAGTTACAGAAATTTATTTCAATAAAATCTCGTTTCTCTTTTGGTAGACGTGGTACGGGATTTCAGTGAAATGCATGCAGTAGATAAAATCAGTTTTGGTCAGACAAGCAGAGATCTAATATGAATCAAGTTCATTTTTCATCTTAAAAAGTAGGTAGTATGAATTTTATACATTTATAATAACTTTTGTAATACCGGAGAAAATTTATATAAAATAATATATAATAGATAAGATATCAAGATAGGATATTATTTTGATAAAGGTTATCTACATAAGATAACCTAAAAACTTTTATCTGGTTGTGATACATCTTATCTAATAGTTAATAATAGTTGGTGACAAAACCATAATTTTGAATGCTAGCATTCAAAAATTTTAATTTTTTATAACATTAGTATTAAAAATAAACTCTAATTTATTTATTATTATTATTACAAAATTTAAGAGAACTTGACGAAAGAGTGGGGTAACACGCGCTATCCCCACTCCTCACATGTGACGCGCAAAATGTTTTCTAGTTAAGTACTTATTGAACCTTATTGAATTATTCGTTTTTGTTTCAATTAGAAGAACAAAAGGTAACGTACCTCCCCCTCTCGTTATCCTTCTTCTTCAAAGAAGGATAACTACGTGTGTTTCCTTTTCATATTTATTGTCAAATATGATGCATGTGACATCCATTGATGGTGGTCGTTGACGCGTAGAAAGTCTATTCGACACATCAAGTCTTGCTAGAAAAATACAAGCTACTTGTATTTTCATCTCGTCTTTATTCTCTTGATAAAAACTCTTGTTCTCTCGCTCGCAAACTCTCGCCATCTCACTCGCGAAACTCGGGAAAAAGTTTTCTCGTAATCGGGTGGCAGCACGAGCAGCGCAACGGCTAAAAGTGGGTGGGGGAGTGAAAAAGCGTGGAACTGAGGTTCGGGTATATAGAAACAGGTTCTCAGAATGAAAGTGTGGTAAATATAAAAGTTTCCCGTTTTACAAGCGCAATGCCGGTATAATATGTATAACAACCGTTGCCAATCAGCGCATGATCAAAAATGGCGGCTCGCCAATACACTCGCGAATTATCAAAATCTATTTACTTGCACTCCGCATGTATGCAATCACTATATAACCAATGGCCCTATAGTCGCGATTTCTATTTCATTTCACACCTATGTCAACCACTACATTCACATTTTCCCGTCGCAACACGTCCCTCGAATATTTACAAATACGAATTTCATTTTTTCGATTGTTTTATTCAATTTATTGAACTTCTCATAAAATGAAAATAACATTCAACGTAAATTTAAATAAAATTGCGAGCATTTTTAAATATCATTTTCCGGTTATATCATGTCAATCAAAGAAAGAATATTAAATTTTTTAATTCAACAACTCAATTCAACTAAAGTTATAATGTATATCAAAATATACAATGTAATTAATTAAATATCATTTATCATTTTATAAAATTTTATATTTATAAACGTTTCGAAGGAAGTATATTTTTTTCAATACCGCGTTATGCAAGATGCATTGATGTGTTTCATTATTAAAGTTTTTAATATTTCAACTGAATTGTCAATATTTCAGCTAAATTCTATTACAAAAGAAAGAATGTGATAAATTTTATTATTTAATTTTCTAAAGGAAATTATCCGTATTTGAAAATAAATGATTTGGAGAAAAAAGAATTCAATTCATATAAATGTAATCAAGGATTATAACTGTTGTAGAAAATCTTTTTGCTCGAGATTATCAAGTATCGTAGAAAGTAATTTCATTCATTCAAATCGCGCTTTTATATTTGGTCAAACTAGAAAAATTTATAACTAAAATTAATGCCACAACAATGATAATAATTATTATTATTTGTTAAATATTTCATTTGCTAATACCTAGATTATATTCTTCTATATAGTCTTTTCGAAAGGATTTTGTAAGTACTTTTAAAGTAATTTATTGGTTTTTATAGAAAAAACATTATATAAAGATTTTCAAAATGTTTTATACAAATTCTATTTATTTTTGAAGATTTTGACTTCCTATAAAATTCTGTGTCAACATGTTTCGAAAGTTTCAAAAATTTATTTTTTCTTGGGGTAGTTCAAAAATAATGCACCATTATATGTATACATTAAAACAAATTTTAACAAATAATGATTTTTATTACCCAAATTAACTATGAAAAATTTTTGTTTCTTTAATGTAAAAGAAATTCTATTTATATTTCTGTACTAATATTGTTAAAAAAGCATTAAATTCGTAAAATAAATTCTGAAAAAATAACACTCAATAAACACTGAAGCTTTTTGTAGTATGTAAGACATTTAATCATTACATTATTCATAAATGAGAACAAGTTAGCAAGGATATAGGTTTATAGTGGTATCAAGTAATAAATAAAATCAATGAGAAATGACTGTATTTAAAACATTGAAGGTAAGTAAATTGAACCAATATTTCACTCGTAGAGTATGTATCTATGACATGATTATATTCAATTATAATTTTTAAATATAATATTTTCGAAATGAAGGTATTTATTGAAAAAATAAATAATAATTATATCACAAATAAACTTGTCTTTATAATAGGTTTAAAATAAAAATCGTCAATAACTTGTTCCCAAACCAAATTCTAACAGACGTATAGTAGAAGTACTTGAAACTAAGGAAGAAAAAAAAATATTACAAATAGTTTCCTCAATTTTGATCATAAAATATTTTTCTTTTTTATCCCAACAGAAGACTTTTATAACTATGATTTATTTATTATTCAGTTTTAAGTGAAAAATCACTTATATGTGTGTATTTAATCACTTCACATGTCACTGCATTTCTTGTTTGAATGCTATAACACTATTATTGCACCACGTGGTTCGGTTCATCCCCACTGTCCCACTAGCACCAAAACACACTCGATCACTACACAACCTGCATTGGGGCTTCCACCAAATTGTTTACATTCTACAAATTACACGACAAATCGCCTCAACTATTGCGCGAAAACTAAAATCTCATGAATTAAAATAATTAATTACGTACATTTTATTAATAGTGATATTAATAACTGTAATGTTTCCTTTAGTATCTCAATATTGGGAAATAAACCGAAATGTCAATATTTTTACTCTATAATGAAGCAAATAATGATTTTATTTAAAAGTTACGAATAATTAAAAAGGTTTCTTTCATGAAATTTACTCTTTTTCCTGTCCCATTATTATGATGTCATGTTTTTCAATATGAATTTTAAATTTAAAACCAGACAGAATAAATACTTTATTTATATTCCTATGCCGTGTATATACATAGGTAGAGAAAATATGGAGAATGATAAAAACATTGTAGTCAAAAATGATGGGAGAGAAAAATAAAAGGAGACAAACGAGAGAGTAAAATAACAATATATATACACACGCGTAGATACCACATTTTAAACTGAATCGATAATCTCAAACCTATATTACATTTATTGAATGGGCACGTGTACATTACTGATTCTAAAAATGTGGAGTTGGATTTTTGCCAAGTTTGCAACATTACTGGAGCATATACTTTTGCTTATTTGCAGTTTCATCTTTTTCATCTTATTGTGAGCGTGAAAATTATTTTCTGCGGACTAAAAATTGCAAATAATTTGATGAAAGTGGATCAAGACGATATATTTAAAAATTCGCTTTATTTGCATTGAAAATAGTCATCAGCAGAGATACACGTCTTGCTTATGTAAAGTTCCTAAAAGTATTATAGGATAAACATTTGACGATCACTGTTATTGTTATATTCTTTATCCGAGTGTCTACTGAAAACCTAATTTGAAATTCCAGGTCTTTCAAGGACGGATTTTTTTTTCTAGGACATTTAATTGAATAATCTTACTTTTTTATTTCACTTAACACGTATACTTTAAAACTGAAGTTAAACCGAAAAGAATGTTCTTTAAGGAATAATAAAATAAAAATTCGATTGGCGCGCTATTTGAACCAATATTCTAGGATATTTCCAGTACCAGTAGACACTCTGTTTATGAGAAAGGAATAAGGAGAAACGCAGGAAATGCATTCCTACTTGGTAGAAAAAATGAAAAAGTCAGTTAAATTTAATACATGCAAATTATGAAATAAAAAAATGAAATCGCCAATGAGAATGACTAATTAAAAGGAAAAAGTAAAAAGAATGTATTTTTGGCAAAGAAGGTGAGAAATTGAGTGAAACTTGTTAATATTGGTGAAAATCGGAGCTGGCACGCGTCTGGCTTGGGAAGAGCACGCGCTGCGCTGGAGGCAGCGAGCGTGCCGGCGCGGGGCAAACAAGAAGAAGTAGTAGACACAGAAGAAAAGGAAGGCGCGCGCAATGCTGAACTGTGTCGGCAGTCGTGATGTACCTTCTTCGCAGGAGGCTGCTGCCTGCCGGCAGTAGTGGCCGCTGCCAGCCCTCGTGGGAGTCAGCTAAGGGAAATCAATATCTCACTAGGGGTAGAATAGAGTGAGCGTGAGAGCGAGACGTTCGTGGAGAAAGCGAGAGAGTTGACTTGATTGAGCGAGAGAGAAAGTGAGCGACTAGCAAGACTAGCGAAAAGTCACGAGAGAAGGATTTCTTTCTTGAAAAGACGCTGAAAACTTTGTCCAAAGTATCTCGCACCAACCAATGAAACTGCGTTTGGTGCAGTTAGTCGCACGCGACTCGCGTCAACTACATTGCGCTCCTGCAGAAGAGATCTGCCGGTTACGCACGCTACTTCGAATCACGCTTCAACTTGCGCGCGCAACCCCCAATCGCGAATTCGCTGCAGCCGTGTCGGCCGCTTAGCGGATACTGGCGACGATACGCTCTGCGCCGAAAGCTCAAAGTCTCGTCTTCTCTCTCTTTCATCCACCACCCACACCACCCCACGCTTACTCGCTCTTCAGCGAAACTTTCCCGGCGTCGGGACGCGCACACCACGACGCCACGCGCCCACCAACACTCTGTAAACTTTGTCTTCGTTTGTGTACAGGTGGAGTGTTATTTTCGTGTAGAGAGAGTTTCGCACTAAACCAAGTATGCAGCGTCCTCAGCCAATCCCCAACCCTCTGAAAACTGCTACCATCTTCGCTCCGTCTTTTTCTCTCTTTCCCACAAGTTTTGCGCAACTTTTTCACCCTCCGCCGCTTTAACAATCTGTCCTCTGTGCACTGATGGAAAAAGACAGAGGAATCTGCATCAGAGGAGACGGAGAGGTAGAAGGCAGCTTTCTTTGCGTCTTTGTTACCACCAACCTCCTCCCCTCCGAAAGTAAGTCCCGCTACTTTCTTTGTCTCGACATTTTTTCATTCCGGACTACTCTTAAACTGTATATAAAGTGGGGAATTTTATGTGGTTAAGATTCGCGATATGCGCGAGGGGGTAGAAATGATTTGTTAGACTCGGAATTGAAAAAGGGTTCAAGTTTCGAAATAGTGAAAATTTGGTCATTCAAGTAACATAAACTCAGATATAACGTCAGTATCATACAAAAGAAATAATAAATTCCTTACGCCTATTCAAAAACAAACTGAGGTGACCATTTTTAGTTAGTAAACTATACTGCTGCTAATTTATTAGTTGTGGTTACTATACTTTTATTGGTTGGCGTAACTACTTTATTAGTTTGTTTAACTAATTAGTTTTTTGGAATAACTATTTAATTAGTTACCTTACTAACGAAATGGTTAAGCTGACTAACTAAATAGCAATATTTTCTCAAAGGTGGACATTTTCCTGTTTGCAACAATATTTCAAGAACTTTTCATTTAAATATTTCAAATCTTTCAGTGAAATATTTCAAAAATATTTAGGAAATATTATGTGCTGTGTGGGAAGCAAGGTTATTTGGCAACCTTGCACCAACCTTACTACAAGCTTACCGTGCAAGCTTACTGAGCAATCTTGCGATAATAATCTTATTGTGCAATCTTACAGTAACCTTACACTCCCGTGCAGAGATTGACACTTTTCACCCCGATTACAGACCTGGCCCCGATCCGATTTCCTGTTCTGGCCCAGGGTAAGTAAATTACTATGGGCCCGACCAGGGTCAGGCCTGGTTACCATATTTAAAATTTTTTTAAAACTAGTGAAAATACATTTATAGCATTTTATGACATTTTTTTCTCTCTAAATCTGAATTAGTAAAAATTTTTACTAATTTAAATTAGTGCCCCACTTTTTTCTTATGAATTTTTAAAAATTTAAGAGAGACTCACTTTTTGCTTTAGAATTAGTTAATTTTTAAGAATTTTTACTAAAAGTGACTAATAATTAGTAAAATTTTACTAATTCATAAGCAAAAAGTGAGTCACTAATTTCAATTAGTAAACATTTTTACTTGGATCAGGTGGGACATTTGAGGCTCACGTGCTATCTGGGAATTTTAATTTTTTAGCTATTTATTTTACTTTTGTGTTCTCGAATAGTGGTACAATAAAACAAAAATAAATTCTATATTGTAGTTTGTAAAAAACGCATTTTTTGCAAGTTAATGAAGGTGATTTTAATTTTTTGACGAGATCTTGGCGATAAATGACTGAAGCATTGTACTCGGATAGCATTGTAACATGTTACTAGAACCTAAAACAATTATTTTCAGGTCACATGACATCTAATTATTAAAATTTTTTAAAGAAATTTAAGGTTAAACTAAAAGACAGAGTCACAGAACCTATGTGTGCTCTGAGAGTTAAAGTATAAATTAATGATGCACATATGGCTGAATACTTTTTAATTAGAGTTAATAAATCTAAATTCCAATAAAAATTTTCGATTTTTGTTTAATAATATAAATATAAAAATTCAATTGAAGTATAAAGTACATAAATTACTTAACATCAGTTAAAATCTGAAAAAATAGTTAATATCGTTATTTAAAGTTACGAAAAGTATGAAAAAGAAATATTTATATTTTCCAAATACATATATTTTAGCTTCTATGACATTATTTCATTGCCGACATATGGTTTCAATTCAATTGAATTTCTACGTATTTTATTATGCAGCAACTTTTCACTTTTTTAGATACTAATCTCTGTAGCAGAAAATGTACTTGTCGCCAATAGATACTGTACACATGTATATCAAGTGTGAAATAATAATGTCATAATGCAACGAGATTTTAAACGAATCCTTAACTGGCTTCTTAGCAACGATCGATAAATAATATAATAGATAAAATAATGAGAAAAAATAAGCAGGGAACAGGAATATGATATTTTGTATCAAAAGGTTATTTTACCTCTATGAATATTTTATTAAAGGCATTCTAACCTATATGGTTAAAACCCGAAAACGTGCACTAAGCTAAAAAGTCAACCACAACGCGTTGTGGTTTCTGAGATTTATCCACAATGCAAAATTTGTCTCGTGGCATGTAAAAACAATCACAAACTCAAAATGGTATCTCGATTATAATATAATTACATTTTGTTTACTATACTTTTATTTATTTTTCTTAGTAATTATTTAATTTATTGTTTTACTAAAGTAAGGAATAAAATCATACGTTCCTCTTGTGATTATAGAAGCCTAGTATAGCTAAATCGCCTAGGCATTTTTTACAGTGGGATAAATCTTAGAGGCCACAACGCGTTGTGATCTATTTTTTCACAGAAAATTAAAAAGGATTAAAATAAGCTGCAACGCTTATTATTTTAATCCATTTTGGTATTAAAATAAGCAAAATTGGATTAAAATAATAAGCGTTGCTGCTTATTTTAATACCTTATAATTTTCTGTGTTACTTATTTTCCTAAAAATACAGTTTTATCTTATATTACTTCAAATATTACATTATATTTCATAAATACATTTAAATTAATTGTTATTATAACAGACATTTGAAATAAATAATAAAAGTTGATAGAAAGCAAATTAACTTGAGAATTAATCAATATAACATTTTCCAAAGCCAATTTCGCGTTACTTCCAAGAATCTCTATCATCGAAGCATTGTCTTTCAAGATACCAAAACTTTGAGAACATTACATTGTCGGAAGATTTGAACTTTCGGGATTGAACTTCCTAGACATTGATTGAGTTGAGGGTAAAGCAAGCAGAAACTGGCATGGATATTGGTAAACTGAGGTATTGAGATTTCATAATAGAAAAATGAAAATTTCATATAACAAAAAGTCAACTTTTATTTGTGAAGAAAAATTAATTTCAAGTTTCAATTGAAGATATGCATTTTTTATTTAAAACATATTATCGAAAACGTTGTTGAATGAAAATCTTTGTCTTTGAATGAAAATCACTATTCGCGGAACATCCTAGAAAGTAATAAATATCAGTCATCACGATAGCAATATATGCACTCCAAAGAAAAGTATAGGCCTAAAAAGAAACGGTAATCGATATAAGTTTTAATAAACAATAATTAAACAAACTTACAAAGAAGTAAGAAGTGCGAAGAAGGTTTAGAGCTAAGAAGTGAAGATTTCAATCAATTTGCAAATATTGTATTAACTTTAAGCAATGCAGAAAAGAAAGCAAGATCGATGGGAAAGTTTCAAAGGACTTGAACAATATTGTAGGTCTTTAAGGGTTTGCTTGTAGAAGTAATATATAGAAATTGGGAACACGCGCAAGCTAAAGGCGATTGCGCACTCAAAAGTTGGAATGGAATATAGCATCGTGACGCTTGCGTCAATCTGTGATTCATTGCCCTAGCAACCATCTGTGTTCATTTCATCTTCTCTGGCTTTTCCTAATGACTTCTATCAAATAAACGCACACTCTCACAATCAAACAGCCATATCATATACATTATGTGCAAAACTCATCTCTTTGTTAAGAAAATAAGAACAAATTTACTAAACTAACAAGAGAAACGAAAGATGCCTTATTGTTCTATCACAGTCCTTCTGAACTTTGTTTACGTGTATTACATTGTTACTGTGCCTATGATCTAACTGAAACTGACAACTAATACCAATATTGCGACGAGCTAGAACAAGTTGATAACTCCATTTAAGTATTGTACTATAGTGAAAATTTTTGATTATGCATCGTGCAGAAATTTTTATTCGGCTCAGGTCGGAGAGTCTCAAATATCTGGCTCTGGTTGAGTTCCCTGTTTCATTCAGATCAGAACCAGATTTGTGACAATCTGACCTGGGCCCGGTCCAGATGAAACAATGAAACCGACCGGGGTCATGTTACTTTGACTGATCTGACCGCTACTGTAATTTACGATTAATTACAATTTGATGTTCAGTTAATAAATAAAAGTCATAAAATTAATCTTTTTGTATTTTATTTTAAAAATTTTCCTTTTCAAAGAATTAATAAATTATAAAAATTACAATAATAGAAAATATAATTTTTTGAAAAGAATTAAATTAATTATGAAAAAAATTAATAATTTCACATTAATTAAAATCTTGCTCTAAATTAATTATTGATTTATTGTAAATTATTACAGTTTTTTCAGAAGAACTATATTTTTTCTATGTATTACTTTTCAAAAAGCAAATCCTAGCAAGCATCAACCAACCCTCCGCCGTACTTATACGCTTTCCGCTTCCGTCGAAAGTTTTCGACGTCATAATAACTTCACAGACTCTAAATGGCACGTATATCCTTAATAAATTGTTCTCACTAAGTTTCTTGAAGGCGAGGCTTCGACTCACCCATACCCCATTCCTGACAATTTCGCCTAACCCCATAACCCCCCAATAACAATAACTTATTCTCTTGTGTTCTTCATCATAATATTTATGAACATAAATAAGTTTATATTTTTGTAAATATATACATATATCTCGAGAATTATTCAATAATGTATTAATT